GAAAACCAGCACCAACCCCCAGAGTCTTACGGGAGTGGGAGAAAAAAGTGTTTGAAACTGGGAGTGTCTTGGATGCTCCTCGCTGTGGTCGGCCCACAACTAGTGTTGAACGAGTTGCCGCAGTGGAGCAGTCCATTTTGCAGTCTCCAAAAAAATCTGCACGTAAACGCTCCGCTGAACTCCAAATACCACGCAGCACAATGCAAAAGATGTTGACTGATCTTCAGCTAAAAATGTAATTTATTTAATGAAACTGTTGAATCCTGAAAATATTTTCTTTATAAATTACTGTAAAACTGCAGCACATTTTTGTTCAGTTATAAAAATTCCTTTGTAAATTTGTTTAAGCTGGTGCTCAGATGCTTTAGTTCTATAAACAATATTACTGGAATGAAACACTCAGTTAGCCTTTCTATTATTAAAATATCTCCATTTTTCTTTCTTTTTTTAAACACTTTTTTGTTTGTAAAATTTTCTAGTCACTTATTTTAAGTATCTCATTTGATTATTGAAAAAGAAATATTAAAATCTTTGCTGAAATAAAAAAATAAAAAAATGATTTATTTAAAAATTGCTACAAAATTGCAATTTTCAAAACATAACAAAATGCAGGTAAAGTATAATTCTTATCATTTATGTCTTTTTTCTTTTATTTATTTGTAGCTTATTGGATACAACTGACTGAAATCACATACTAGTTGTCAATACTGATCAGTTGAAACCTATATGTCATTCTGGGGCCTTTTCCATAATGACTTTTGCTGTATGAGTGGCTCCAGCCGAGCAAATTGACTATACTCAGTAGACAACGTGTGATAGATGGATAAAGATGCCTGGAAATAAATTTTTAAAAATTCCAAGTAAAAAAAAAAAAAATATTTTTAAATTTCAATGTGTGTATCTTTCTTTCTTTTTTTTTTTTTCTTTAGTTTTGGTTTTAACAAAAGCACAGAAATGATTCCTAATCCATACAGGGAGAAATCTACAGAAACCAAATTAATAAAATGTGTGTTTATACAAGGAGGTGCTGAAACATTCTTGAACTTGAGTCACTTCTCAAAATCAGTATTTCAATGACCAAACATCCAAATACTGATATTTTGGGAAAGTGAGTCAGGCTGACAAATTTCCAGCACCCTGTTGTAAAGAGCATTTTTTACTTTTTCAATGTGATTACTGAGCACATTTAAGAAATGCTTTGAACATTAGAAATTCCTATTTTGAAGGTTGATATTCACTGACTTCATGTCAGCCTTGTGCAAAGCAGGCTTCTAATTTTTTTTGTTGAGAAAAATGTCTTTGGAAAAAAAAAACAATTCTGCTCATTATATATAGTTCAGTAGATTTTTGTTTTCTCTCTTATACAGTTATTTTGATTTTAAATTTTTACTGTATGAATGGAAAATTGCTGGGGTAAGTTCATTAACAAAGGAGATTTGTTAATAAATGTTTAAATGCTACCCCCCTGCTCCACTCACTATGCAATAGACTTATTGATATACCTACATGGATTAGAATAATTTTTAATGGATTTATTTTTAGTACACTTTTTTATTACATAAATGTTTGTTAAATTTTAGTGACTACATATGTTTCGGTAGATGCTCTGATTTTGTGTTTTTTTTTTTTTTTCTTTTAAGCACTGATATTTAAAGCTCTTAAAGATTTTGTGATCTGCAACTGGGTTTGAACTTGCATTCCCCTGTCAGAAAAAGATGCCCTTTCCTTAAAAGGGGTAACTGAACCTTACTGGGTTGTGAAGCTCTCTGTGACTAAGTAGTCTGATCAGACAATGGTCTCCCCTACAAAAGAGGAATGCAGGTTCAAACCCAGCTCAAGGGCACATTTTCTTTATTAAGACTTAATTCACAAGTCCCTATATTAATTCACTGTTTAAAAAAAAAAAAATTGCATCTACTCAAACACATGTATTCACTAAAATACGTTTAACCCTTGCCTTGCATTCTTGAATAATTTTAACCCTTCTGCCTGAGCTCCTGAGTCAAAATTAGTAAATAATTGGTATGTAATATTTCATGGTAGATATAAAAATAGTTACAATTGTTTACCCACCATTCAACTGGTGGCTGGGCATTAAGTCATTTTTCTCTACCACTGTTCAACCGATGGTCAGGGCTCAAAGGGTTAAGTAATAAGAAATAGATTAGAATATTTAAATAATGTTTTAACAGATCTCTTCTTCAAAACTTATCAATGGTTAAATTTTCTTTGGTAACATTTAAAAAGTTGTTTCCAAGAAAACCTGAATAGGTTTAATAAATCTCTAGACATAGTTTTATTTTAAGACATTTTCATGTTTATACGTTCTTTTTTATAGATACAAATATTTAAGTAAATGCTCTGTTTATAATAAACAGTATTAACGATATCTACTGGCCTTTATGTCAGAAATTTTCATAGAAAATGGAACCATCATATAGCCTGGTGTGCTTTACAGATTTAGCCACAGAGGAGCGTTTCATTTAGCCAGGTCGATTTTACTGTTTTTAAACTACAATTCTCCATCTACCTTGCTAGCCAAAATGCTCCTCTGTGGCTAAATCAGTAAATGTTGTTAATACTGTTTATTATAAACAGAGCATTTACTTAAATATATCTATAAAAAAATGTATAAACATAAAAAATGTCTTAAAATAATTGTCCATTTCATAATGTGTGACATATTTTTATGTATAAATGTTCATTTTCCAGTATTTTTAAAAGTATGGCATTTCTTACTGATCATTTGTCATAATACCATTTAGAGGCAAACCCACTGGTAATCCAAATTTTTTGTTTAAATATTAAGGATGAAATCATATTGATTGGTGATGAGTTGTCAAATTATGATTTTAGTTATTGGTAGAGAGAAATTTATTTTGGACTGTGTTAGATGCTTTTTTTTTTTTTAAACAATTTAAGTATTTGTTAACAGGAATATTGTAAACAAATGCTTAAAGTTTTAAAAAAAAGGTGGGGGGCATCTAAAAGTCATAAAATTTGCCAACTCATCAACAATCAATATGATTCCATCTTTAACAATTTTTATAAACAGAAATTTGGATTACCAATGGATTTGCCATTGAGTGAGCCTATAACTTGTCTTAGTTTCTTGAATCCTTTCCAGAGTTTTACCTAAATGATTGTTATTAAAGAGAAATTTATGCAACTTTTTAATGAAGATATTGGAGGTACAGAGTTGGCCTAATGGTTAATGCTATAGAAAATGAAATCAAATGAATAATTTCCAGCTGATATAGTTTGTATTTATTTTAGACGAATGCCCTTCAGATTGATAGGTATCCACCACTCTTAATAGGTTCCTCTTGTTACTACTGTTATGTAGCTGAGTACAATCTCTGTTATAAAGAGATGAGTACTACCAGTAACCCCATTACCTCAAGAAAAACTATGAATGTCCCAGCGATTTGCTAGCTCCCCAAGTCATTTAATTTTTTTTTTTTTTTTTTTTTAATAATCATTTGGAATTTCTTCTATTCAAAAATACATTAATGCATAACAATGTATGTTTTTTTTTTTTTGAGTTTTCAATGCAAACCAAATTTTCAGGGTTTCAACATTTTGCAAGAAACAACTACCTATGTCAGTATTAGTGCCCCTTAGAAAGGAGGTAAAACTTAATATTTCTATTGTAATAGCTGCTTTTACCTAGATACATTGAGCAAGGTGAAAAATGTACTTGTTTTATCTATTACAAAGGACTGCATCACAATGAGTATCAGTTTTCTTATAAGAGATGTTCTTTTTGTTTTAAGTCAGACAGATTGACAGTTTTTCAAAATATAATTTTACTTGCCAAATATTTTTAATAACCATCAGATGTTTTGAAAGATTAAAGGTGATAAAGTTTCTGCAAGTTCTAAAGATTCTCATAACTTTGTTAGTAAATTAAACTTACATATCATTACAAGTATTTTTTTTTGTCCTAGAAATTTTCAAGCTCAAAAGAAACTTTCTTGACCTCTTCTTTATTTTACAAAAATTACTTTTAAAATACTATCCACTTAATCTCTTCACTGATAAGATCTATAAGTGTCATGTTTCCTGGATCATCTCAATGACTGGATAATGATTAAAGACATTGCTTAAATTGTGACAAAAGACATTACTTTACCCAGGATCTTCTTACACTGGCAGTGAATCAGATTGTGGTTCAAGTCAATTTGCAGATGCAGGCAAGGATAGTGAAAATATTTCCTTAGAGCAGATGATGAGATATTTGGCAATAAAAATATCTGTCCCAAGTAATTAAGAAAAATAATCTCTTATGAATTTTTCATGAGAAAATAAATTTGATATTTTATTTGGATAATAAACAATTCCAGTTCTTTTTTTTCACACGAGTTTTGTACCATTTTCTGCCAACATTTTCAATGTAATAAACATTTTTTTTAAATTGAAGGAGAAAGTGTGTACTTTGTTCTTTTGAATTATGGGAACATATATTTGACAGAAAGAACTGACATACTTATGTATGCACACAAATTAATAAACTGTTATCTTTAAGCTTGTGGTAATTGTGTATCAGTCAGTCAGGCAATCATGTACCTTTTGATACATGACTGACGAGGCAGATATCCCCCCCCTCACAGTAGGTTGCCATTTCTTGCTGCAGTAGATCACTTGCCATCCAAGGCTATAGAACCCAGTCTGTCCTGCTATTTACCCATAACTGGGGGGGGGAGAAGAGGATTCATACCTTTTCCAAGGGTATTAGCACGTAAGTGAATGTAATGGATTTGACTGGAATTTGAACTTGGCTCTCTGATTCCTCAATCTGAGCCATGATCCATTACTCCACCATGCTTCTGTCCCGAATAATTAAGAAAAATCTATCTTTAATGAATTTTTCATGAGAAAATAAAAATGTGTTTGTGTACACATTTCATGTTTATTTTTTTTTTTTTTAGCTTCATGAGAAATTTTGAAAGTGAAATAATCTGGAGTTATTTTTGATTTTTTAGGGCTTACAGCCACATGTTGAAACATTGGTTCCCATGTGATCACTAAAGTTAAACAAGGTTGTGCCTTGTCAGTACCTAGATGGGTGACCACTTGGGAAAACCAGGTGTTGTAAACTTGTATGTGTGGGTGGCATAATAGATAATGGCCAAGAATTGTTAATAGGATAGCTGCATGCCAATTCATTAGATTCATTCTATTCACTTACATGCAAATACCCTAAATAAAGTATGAATCCACCTCTGCTCCCCACAGCTATGGGTTAATTAGACTTGTATCACAACCATTATCACCCCCCCAAAAAAAATATTCTTACAATCTAAAAATATTTGCTGACTTTAAATAACCTGCAAAGGGTTGTCATAGAAAACAATCATATTTCAATTTTTAAATTCTGTATCCTGCATTCATTATGTGTAGCTTTTTACAAATATTGGTGATATGAAAAAGTGTATCTAACAATTATTTATGTGTTAATTATTTATTAATGTTTCTTCTAGACATTTTCTCCATAACTGGTATTGTTCAACTTCTTTTTTTTTTTTCCTCTCCCCACCCCCAAGGTAGCATTTATTTTTAATCAAAGTTATAGCCAGTTTTATTTCTCTGTTACTGTTGTGGAGTAAATAACACACCCCCAGTAAACCGAATGAACTAGGTAAGATGCCTTAAATTAAGAACTCAAAGTGAGTCAGTTGAGGAGAAAGGCTATTTGCTGTGGCGGCATCAATTCTAAGTAACAGCATAATATTATAACTGCTAAGACTGAGTTATAACATTGACAACAAGGAATTGAAACTCATACGAAGTAGGAAAAAGTACCTTTTGCTTTGGCGCACTTGATACTAGTGACAATGAGAAATTAAAACCAGTTTCATTTTTTTGACTTTGGTGTGTGTGAAGTGGGGGGCAACATTCTTTAAATATGGAATTAGTATCAGCCCAAGTGGTAAAAATACAACAGCAGTTGTTGGAACCCCAGAAACAAAAAAATTTGATTGAAATAATACAAAAAAAAAAAAAAAAATTAAAATTAAAAATAGTAAAATTCTCTAAGTTCTAAAACACTCCTGATGTGTTCACAAATGCCATAACTACTGAATTCACATACAATTCAGGCAAAATTGCCTTTTCTGCTTATTTTAAAAGCAAATTTTCAGAGAAGAAAGCAGTGACTGGAAAGACAAAAAAAAAACAAGACTTTTGTTGAGAAAGTTAGCAGCAGTAGAACATGAAAAATACTGTAATTTTATACTATCGAAAACCAGGAGAAATTTGCTTTGAAGACAGTAGATATTCTGACTAAAATTTTTAGCAAGAAAAGTTTATTATTCAATACACATTGGAAGTATAGGAATGGTGAAAAAAGAAAACAAAAATTTTGTTACATATGCTGAAATTGTTAACAAGGAGTTTGAAAGATTTAAATTAAACAAATCAACTCTGGATATACTTAAAGGATTAATTTTCAAGGTTTACGTTGAAAAAGTTGCAGAAATACGCAGAATTCTAATGAAACTTCAACAGAATCAAAAACTAACACTACAACAAATATCAGAAAATCATAAATCTGAGACGTGATACAAAAGAAATTGAAGAAAAAGAATACATATACAAGCAAGCTAAAGAAAAATTAATCCATGTTTCAGCTGTAGAAGGTTAAATCTCAGAGTCAACTGTTCCTTTTAAGAATTCAAAGTACTAATTGTTTTTGCCTAAAAACAAGTGTTGTGAAGTAAATAAGATACTCCAAGTAACACAAATGAACTAGGCAAGATGCCTTAAATAAAGAACTCAAAGTCAGTCAGTAGAAGTTCATCACAAGCAGTTCACTGCCAGGTTTATGGCTGACTTATTGAACTCTCTGCCTAGAGAGAAACCCAGACAAGGCTATGCCTACAGGCAGAGTCCCATTTGGGGAGGAAGACAAACCTAACCCCGTGTATACAGGGTCTATGAGGAATTTTTGCCCAAGCCTACACGACCGGATTCACCCCACATAAAAAATCGGCCTTGTGCCACATCCTGCCTTGTGGGGAGGTTGGTAAATACAAGTCAGTTGAAGAAAAAGAATTGATGATGTCACAGCAATTAGCCTAAGCAAGACATAAGCACTAGGAGTGAATTACAGCAGTTACTAAGGAGTTTAGTGGGTTATCCCAACAGAGGTCTCTTTTATGTTCATAAATGTGGGTTTTTGGATTCCTGGATGTCTTACCTATGTATTTCTTATGACATTACATCCCAGCTTCTGATGCATCATTGACTTTTTTGTAGACAAACATATATTGACATCATAAAATGAATACATGATGTCTACCCAAATAATGAAAAGAAAACATAGAACTTAAAAATACAAAAGCTCCACATTATTTCACTCCCAAAATTACATTGCTGCTTAATTTTGATACTGAAATCATTTTAGAACAATTACATTATTCATATTAACTGTCAGTAGTTGATATGAAAAGATCTACATATTTGTATAAGCATATTAAGAGATATATGATAAAAGTAATTACACTTCTATTTTCAAATAAGAACCTTTTATCTAATGATTAAACAATACAAGTACATGAACCAAACTTAAATTTGATTTTTCAATTTTTTTTTGCTAATATTTCTTTCATCTTAATTTCAGTTTCAGTTCTTAGTCATTTCATGATCATTATAAGCAGCATGGTTTAAAAATAAAGAATAAACCTCTAGTGTGACTTGAACTCATTCTCAGAAACTTATAACTTGACAGCTGCCTTCCAAATTAGGCTATGGAAACCACTGGCTTTACTCATTCATTATCACTGTATTTTTTTTTTTTTTTTGCCTAATGCATGTGTAATCAAAGAGTACAGCTAAAGTAGAATTAGTGTTAAAATTATTTAATTTCTTAAATGGAGTGTTGCCTGTTGTGATTAAATTTTGATGGGTATTTTTTTCATCTAATCTCATTTTTTTATTGCAAATCAGATCATCATACCACAACCATCAGTAAGCAGTCTGGATAAAAAAAGGTTGCAATAAAAAACAAATTATAAATACAAAAAAAAAATTAATACACTTGGGTTTCAAATAGATGGGGTAAATGGGTAAAAAAGTGGATAGCTGGAATTTTAAAAATAATTTTCAGTAATGAAATACTTGCAGCTTAAATTAAGGGTTGGGTGGAAATTTTCTGAAAGGGTTAGCTGGAATAAAGATGTCCCAGATGGATTTTTCACTAAAAGAGAATAATAGTCTTGGCCTGTCTATTTGAAGGTAATTAACAATAATAACAAGAAATTCAAATAATGTTTCCATTGGTTTTATTTTTTACAGATCTGCTAACATCACCTATGGAAAACTGTTTCACAACCTAAAAATGGTTCAATAAAAATTCATGTCTAGAGACTGGCTTGATTATGAGAATTGCTTAGTATCTTTTTGAACATTCTAATTTCAAGTACTTTTACTGTAAGGTGTTTCATTCTTCATTAAGCTTTTTTTTTTCCTCTACCAAATAACCAACAATGAGGCCCTCTCAGAATAGATACATTTTCTGTATTAATATTTCCTCTACACATACCAAAATCTTACTGATTGGTGTTACAGATTGCTTCCTACATCATAATTTAAAATCTTTCATGTTTGATAGAGGGTGGATGGTTGAAAAAAAAAAAAAAAATTCTTGCCAAACCTGTACTTGTCTGAAAAATGAAAATCCACCTGAAAAAAAATAAGCATGTTTACACCCTAAGTGTATGTTCACAAAATGATTTTGTGTCTGTTGAGTGTCAACTGGCTAAATGACTTTCTTCTGGCTGCTCTGCCATAGTAATCCATATTGTTAATCTTCAATGAATCAGTTACATCTGCAATAAAGTAATCCTCTGAATATTGACAACTGAACAAATGAAAACATTTTCAATATGGCTGCTAGCATTTTATAGAAACCACCACTTGGTGGCACGAAACAACAACCAAAAGACAAGGACAATAACTACAACATTAACACTTCCTCCATTTCTTCAGAGGTACACAGAGTACATAATAACACAGGCAACAAAGAAATTTTATAAGACCAAAGTCAAATATTCTTTGGGCTCCATAATATGTCCAAAAATCTTGGATGAGGGAACATTTCACCTGCTAAGTGAGTCAGCTATTTAATGACTTGTAGGCACCCATTTAATGTCAGACAATTCTTTCATTAGATTCACACTTTATAAATTCCTGCCTAGTCAAGTGCAATGCATTCAAATTTTTCCTCACCATAATAGATGTAGTTGCAGGTTCCAGTGCTGGAAGATTATTATGGAAGCTATCTGGAACAGCTGGATTACAATCAAAAACTAACTGATTAGGTGAAAAACCAGAATTGTTGACAAGTGCATTGCAAGCTGAAATAGACCATACCAGACCAACATCCAAATCATACTGAGTATCTGCAATAATTTTATTTACCATGTTATCAATAACAGCATTAAGTCTCTTGCATAATGGACTTTCTGTTGCTGTTGTCATCACCATCATGTTGAAGGCTTCATCCAACTCCTACATTTCACGGTTGTTGAATTCACACCCAGTGTCAGTATTTTTTTGAGCACCAAAAATGGTTATCCAACTGGAGAAGAACCCTACAATAACAGTGGAATCCATTTTGTTTTGAATCACCCTCACTGTACAAAAACGAGTTTCCAGGTCCACAATCACAAGAAAGAAATTTTTACCCCATATTTTCAAATCCAAAGCCAGTTTCATTAAATTCAGTTGCCATAGGAAGACTGACACCATGTCTGGGAGAGGTTCTTTTGAATTTGGTACAAGTTTCACACCTCTCTGATACAGATTTAATTTCATGTACAAGTTTATGATTATTTAGATTTCCATCATGAATCATATTAGTTTTTGAGGATCAGGATGACCAAACTGCTTATGTAATTTGTTGGCTATTCTATTTGTATCCTTCATTTTTGAGAACATGATCAAATTACATGTAGCATTATCTAGCTGTCTCTAGAGAGGTAAAGAATAATGGCCTGAAGTGGTGGGTTGCAGTTTAATTATTCTTTTTCCAACAGTCAATGTAATTTTGAAAATTCAAGATCATGTTTGTTTTTTTCATTCAATTTTTACTTA